TCCTGTAAGATGCATACAGGAAATGAAGACTAAAGTCATCGCGGGTTTTCCGAACGACGCAGTTGACAAAGTTGAAATCCACAAGGGTGTCAGAAAGATTTTCGATCCGGAGTATGAAGATTCCGAGGAAGAAGATGCTCCAATCGGTGACAAAGATAATGGCTTGGTTAACAGGTACGCCCAACCTGACGGGTGGGATTCAGATGAGACCGGTGACGACAGCGAATTTGACAATAAGACTGATGATGACTGATGATGATGATGATGATGCATCTGAGGAATCCGTCATTATCGTTGAAAGCACTCGGCCGAGCGACAATGAATTTGGTGGTAGCCGATCCGGCAGAGGTCGCCACGCTGAGACTCGCACCATCACTGATGAAACAGTCTCCGAATTGACAGGAAACACAGGTGATGAATCTGACCCGGAATTAGCGTCTCCGCCAAGAAAGAAAGGACGCTCTCAACGGGTGTCAATTGATGAAGAAGCTACCGCAATGGACGTGGATGGAACGGACCCGAGCGTAGGTTCCCGACCCAGTGGAAAGCGGCTGCATCCGGCGCCAAGGTCTACTAAGCCTGCTACACAGGAGCCGGCAAAATCGAGGCCTACAACGAACGCCCCCGGAGCCAAACGGAAATCCCAACGAACTTTGACGCTGGAAGAGCGCCTGGATGATTTGTGCAATGTCGACCTGGATGGAATGGAAGGCAGGGCTATGTTGGTCGAGTTGGGCATGGTCTACAATTACCCAGGTCAGCAGGAGGGTAACCAATCACATGCGTCCATTATCCTGAAACATATTTTGGACACCTTGTCCGACACGCTCAGGAACACAGAAGAGACCCTCCGTATACTACCACTTTCCGACAGGACGTATAAGAACACGCAGATGTGGATTCGCAATGAAGCCGACCTTCGGCGTCTGATTCCTGATTACCGCGGGTTGTCACAATACCTCGATATGTCTTTTGGCAACATGTCGTACGCGTCTACGTCGAACAAGCCGGGAGAAAAGAAGCTACGCACACGGCTGAGAGTAGGTTTCGAGGCCGACGTGTCGTCGGAGATGATCCAGCAATATCTGCATGGAGAATTGCAACATCAGGGACGTGGCGCCGGATGCTACTCATCTGTTCTCCAGTTTGGCGACATTGAAAAGATTGGAGCCTTATGTTTTTACCCTCAGGAGATCAACATTAAGGCCATCGAGAAGAAATGATGCGTCCTTTCGGTTGGGATATTGTCATTGGACTACGGTACAAATGGGTTAACATCCCGTACAACGGACGTAGCAAGTGGAATGAAAGAGCACCAGGGTGCATGATGTGGCACGTCTACGTGAGAGCAAGACACGCCAAGCGGGTGGACCGGGCATTACGCCTGTGGCTTCACCCCTCGACTCCAAAGAAAGATTTTCCGTGGTGCGCCGTCACCCACTACATCAGCGATTGGAAGGCAGCTCAAAATGGGATAATCAGTGTCAAGGCCGTTGGTCCAGTGAAGGATGAGAATCTGACCATGATTTCGAAGCACAACGATTTTGTTGAACTTACCCAGGCCAAGTACTGCCCAGTCGAGATCCCAGGAATGCTTAAACAGGCGACCACAAAAGACTTTGGCCCTCGCACCTGTTTGTCCATGTTCCTCTCGGTCAAGGCACGGCCATTGCACGCTGATAAAGTTGCTGCTGCCAATGTGGACACCGATTCCGACTCTGACGATTCTCTCCTTGATGACATCTCTCACAAAATTACAAAAGTGACGACCAAAGGGAAGACGAAGATAAAGAAGAAGGTCCCAAAAACTTCCAAGCATTTGTCTCTTGAGAACGAGGGCCCTGTTCTGACACCAGCGCAACAGCGCCGAGCCCGAGAGTCGGAAAGGAAGCGAAAGATGGACCTGGAGAATAATGTCCCAAGCCCGCTGTTCATCATGGTTCTACCTGGCGAAATGGAAGGGACTTATCTCTTCATCAGCCGGTTGAAGTATGCAGCCTTGGCAACAAATGTTTTGAAAGGACTGGTTCCGTTTTTCACTCACCATTTGGGGGAATCAACGACTACTCGATCCAACAGAGTTCTGGGCAAATGGTTCCCTAAGTGTCTCTCATCCACACGACACGCCGCAAGGAACTTGTGTGGTGCTTGGAGACTCTACGGGCACGACCAGCCGACCAAACTCAACAGGGCGTTGACGAAGCCATCGACTTTCTGGATGGGTTTGGCTCTGATCCCCTTGATGTCGGTGAAGCAAAGTTGGAATTTGATATGGATATGGCCGACGCTAAAGATATTGACGACGGAGCTACGGTCGCTGGCGCCATGGATGAGTTGCTGGAAAAGGATAGTCAACTGGAGGCTGCTATCACGGAGATTGAATTCAAGGACAATCTCTTCTCCGAACAGAATTCTGCTTTGGAGGCCGAACGATTACGATCTGAACAGTTGGCGCTCGAACTTGCCGCAATGCGCTTACTACAACAGACATCAGCAAGCCGCACGGATCAGCCTACTCAGCTTGACGACAGTGGGCCTTCCAACAAGTCGCCTACGGAGGAGGATATTCCTCTCTCAGAACAGCCACACTCACCGTCCACTCCGGCACGATCCAACCAGCCAGGTCCCCTCACCTCCCCACTGCCGGGATCTCCTTCTCCGGCACCTGGGCCCAAGGCAATGTTACCACCTCAGAGTGCTGTCACTCGCCCCAAATCCTTTGTCGAGTCAGTGACTCCGGACCAAGCCCCGAGGACGGCACCTACAGCACGTCCTCCCAAGCGGGATGGTTGTCCCACTGCAGAGTCTATCACTCCGTCCTTGACTGACACTCAAGGTTCGGGGAGCCAATCCGATGCATCTACCCCGTCGGTCTTCCCCATCTTCCGCCACCCTCAACAGTCTCCTCCCTCCGTCCCGGTTAAGGGCAAGAAGGGTAAGAAGACACCATTGGCCGGCCGTGGAGCTTCCCGCTCCACGGCAGGGCAATGAGAGGCCCTCGATCGTCTGCCGCTAGGTCACGGCGAGCAGGCAGACGATCAAGAACGAGTGGCCCCTCGACGGGTGTTCCCCATGCATCAGTT